TTCCTGACCACGAGAAGACCCGAGAGAAGCCAATCTAAAAAAGCTACCTATTGGGGGGAGGATGGGAAGGGATGGGAAGGAGAAACAAAGGAGGAGGCTACAATGCTTGATAAGAAATGTACTCATGGGCTGGGAAGGTGGCTCAGTGGTAGAGTGCTTGCCTTGCATGCCTGAGGCCCTGGGTTCGATTCCTCAGCACCACATAAGCAAAAAGAAAAAAGCCGGAAGTGGCACTGTGGCTCAAGTGGTAGAGTGCTAGCCTTGAGCTGAAGAGCTGAGGGAAAGCGCCCAGGCCCAGAGTTCAGGCCCCACGACCGGACCCAAAAAAAAAAAAAAAAATGTACTCATAATCTTGCCCGTGTAATTGTAACCCCTCTGTACAATATTTTCACAATAAAAATAATAAATAAATAAATAAATAAACTACCTATTGCCACTCCTTTTACTGTCCACAGCAAAAGGATATATCAGAGCTTCCAGACCTTGGAAGGTGAATTTTTAGGACAGTGAAGCTACTCTGTGGGAGTCACTGTCCATACATACATGACATTACCCATTCATCAAAACCCAGAAATGGCACCACGCCAAGAGCAAACTTGATGTAAACTGTGCACTTTGGGGTGCTTATGTGCTCCTATTGACTCAATGACTGTTCTTTTTTTTCCTTAATTGAAAGCAAGTTTCAAACATCAGGTCACCTTAATCCTAAATACTGCAATATGTATGTCTGGAAAAGGGGATGGGGGCCAGCACGGTATTCTCCCAGAAAATTTTCCATTTATCTTTACCAAACTTATGAAGTTTAGTATAACACAGACTAGCTTCTCTACTATCTATATTTGAATGTGGGTTTTTGTTGTCGTTGATGATGACTTTGTACTGGAGGGACAGCGGTTTGAACTTAAGGCCTCACACTTGAAAGTCAGGTACTCTTCCACTTGGCCCATGCCCCCAACATCTTTTACCTTAATTAGTTTTCAAATGGAGTCTCAGGTTTATGGCCAAGTTATGCTGTAATCCTATTTACACCTCCCACGTAGCTGGGATGACAGGTGTGTACCACCATGTCCAGCTTTCATTATTATTATTATTATTGGTTGAGACGAGGTCTTCCCAACTTTTTTACCTATGGTCTCAATCTCTACCTCTTGATACTTAGGATGGCAGGCACGAGCCAGGGTACCTGAATATTTTTGAATATTTTGATTGCCCCAATAACAGGGTGCCTGGGGGCATTTAGCATGGCTCAAACTGAATATCCATTTGAGACTCACACTGCATTTAGTTGTCATGTCCCTTTAGTCTCCTTGAATCTAAACAGTGTCCCATTTTTGTCCCTTCCCCAATTTTGTGGCATCTGAGTTAAGCGTGAATGTTTGTAGAATGTCTTTGGGTTTTGATTGTTTGGTTATTTTCCTTATGATGAGATTTGGGTTAAACATTCTCGAGACAGTAGTGTACTTCCCATGATTTGAAACATCTCCTATAATGTCAGTTTCTAATTGGACTGAAGAATGTTCTGGCCTGCTGTGGGGTGTTGATAGAGGAGACAGCTGTGCTCTGAGGAGGCAGGGGACAGCATGACAACAGTCCATATGTTACATCCAATTTCGTTACGCACCAAAACTGCTCTAAAAAATAAAACCTATATTAAAAAAAAAAGGCCAAGTCACACAGAATAAAGTGATGGGAAGAATGTGACAAAATTTAGTCTTAATTGATCTCTACTTCTTTAAAAATAAAAATAAAAGCTGGAGATATGACTCAAAGGTAGAATACCTGCACACCTAGCTCAAGACCCTGAGTCCAAACCTCAATCCCAACAAAAATAAAATCAAGAATGAATTGGATCCCACCGACTATGCAAACCTCCAGGAGAGGCTGATGATCTCCCAACTCCTGACACTGGCCTGGTGTCCAGCACAGAGCATGAGCCCAGAAATGTCTGCAGAGCCCCAGCCTGCTGGAAAGGCTCCCAAATCCTACTCTTGACTCCTGGCACTCAATTTCATTGGCAGTGGGGCACACCTACCACTCGGGAGGCTGAGGCAGGAGAATCTCAAGTTTTGGCCAGCCTGGGATACAAAGCAAGGGATACACTGTCAAGGCAGCCTGGGATACATGTAAGACCCATCTCAATAAAAAACAAAAACAAAACAAACAAACAAACAAACGAAACTGGCCCTAGCCGGGAGCTGGTGGCTCACAGCTGTAATCCTAGCTATTCAGGAGGCTGAGATCTGAGGATCACGATTCAAAGCCAGCCCAGACAGGAAAGCCTGTGAAACTCTTATCTCCAATAAGCCACCAGAAAACCGCAAGTGGCACTGTGGCTCAAGTGGTAGAGTACTTGCCTTGAGCTGAAGAGCTGAGGGACACAGAGCCTAGTCCCAGAGTTCAAGCTCCACAACCAACAAAAAAAAAAAGAAAGAAAAGAAAAGAAAATGTCCCTAACTAATGAGTCATAGTCAGTGGGTACCCAGCACAGATAAATACCAAGTCTCATGTTTAAAGAAAAATAAAGCCAACCCTTTGCAGGAGCAGAAGGTAGAGCTCTGCAAGGTCGTAGGCAAGGACATGATTTTTTGTGAACCCAACATGAAAGGTGGACATAGGCAGACCTCATGACTGGAAAAGCAGGCCAGCAGCCCTCAAAAAATCAGTCTTACCAAAATTAACAAGACCTAAGAAACAAAGGACTTCCACTTATCTGGTCAAATCACCACTAAATAACCCCATGCTGCTGATCACATATATGGCATATATGTGCACACCAGAGGGAAACCAGGAGGATGACACAGAACTAGAGGGAATCAGGGAAAAACATACAACAGCGGGACCCATCAGCTGCGCTGGACATTGACCAAAATGAACTAAGCAACTCAATGGCAGCGATGGGAGGGAGGGAACAAGTGGGAAAGAGGGAACAGCTGACGCTGTGCAAAACAAATGAAATGTACATACCACCCAATGTGGAAGAAATAACTGTATTGCAAAGCTCATAGAACTCATAAATGTTATGGACCATGATAGACAATTTGCCCCATGAAAGTTAGAATGTGTTTGTGACTTTAACTGAGCCTCACTATCCCACAATACTATGAAATTTGGGAACTTATGTAACCACTTAATCACAATAAAAAAATTGGAAAAAAAATCAGTCTTACATCTGTGGCTCCAGAGACTATAGGTCCTAAAGATTAAAGTCCAGTGCTTCTGTGGGATCCTGAGAGGACTCACGTGATGTTCAGTCCCTTCAACTTGCTCACTTGAGGCCAAGCCCAGCCCCTCTCCAGCTAACTTCATGCCTGAGCACAAGTGCCACCTGACCACGTGTGTCCTCACCCAGCTCTTTCCCTCAACAGAGGAAGCAGCTGGACGGCATGGCCCAGCCGTCTCCCCTCCCTTCAGCTATGCCTGGAAAGCCCTCACTTCTGCACCACTCGCAAACCCAGTGTCCCTTCTTGGAATTTGAAAAAAGAGAAAGATAGATAAGCTGGGGGCTGGAGGCTCACGCCTGTCATCCTACTCAGGAGGCTGAGATCTGAGGGTCATGGTTCAAAACCAGCCCAGGCAGGAAACTACATAAGACTCTAATCTCCAATTAACCACCAGAAAACTGGAAGTGGCGCTGGGGTTCAAGTGGTAGAGCGCTAGCCTTAAGCTGAAGAGCTGAGGGACAGCGCCCAGGCCCAGAGTTCAAGCCTCATTACCAACAAAGAAAAGAAAGAAAAAAAGAAGTATATAATAAACAGGTAATAGATAGGCAGATAATAGATGGTAAACTGATGATAGGTGATAAATAGGCAAATAGGCGGACAGACAGACAGACAGACCTCACTAAATGCCCAGTCAGGCTGAGAAAACTATAATCAGCATTCCAAATTTGCTCCTGCCAACCACTATTACTGGATTACAGATCCCTCGTGGCCCACCCTGACATGGGCTTTGCAGGAGTGAGCCAGCCTCAGCTCGGTGCCTACTAGACTCCAGCACGGTGTGGCTTCCTGGGGCCGTGGAAGGAGGAGGACTGTGCCCTGGGGACGCTGGGTTCCACATGGACCTGGAGAGACGGCAGCCCAGAGGAGCCAGTTCCTTCCTGCCCACACCCCGCTCACTCTAGATCAGAACCCAAAAACACACTTCATTTTCCATGTGAATCAGTCACTAAAAGGTTTTTTTCTCTCCTATTCCTCAGACTTTGCCTCAAGTGGGCATTATATTTATGTTACGTATTATTAGATTTGTAGCTGCATTCTTTATTAAATATTTTACTGTTATTATAAAAGTGATATACAGAGGGGCTACCATTTCATAAGTCTTTTTGGACCATGTCACCCCTTCCTTGGCTTTCTCCCAGTTTTTCCCTCCTGTCCTCCGGTCCCCACCCTTAAGTTGTATGGTTCATTTTCAACGTAGTATCGAGTGAGTATCACTGCTGCATCTGTTCACCCTTTGTCTCACCATTCCTGTACCCCCCACCTTCCCCTTCCAAAGCCAAATAAAGGAACAAACAAGACAAAAAGAAAAAAAACCTCGTTTCCTCTTCCTGGAGTTCATTTCAATAAATATTATATTCATAAGCAAAGGCATTGAGGTACTGCACCTCTGTGTTCCTCCTGTATTTTTATATGTATTTCCTTTTATTAAGCTGGAAGGGTAAAACTTGGCCACAAAATGCACAGCTCTCTGTATACACAGGTACCCATGTGAGTTTATTTCTGGTTCATTGGTTTTTGCTGACTTACCTAATTATATGAGTAAATAAGTAAAAGTCATTAGGGACATCAAGTACTTAGTTGCCAGTGAGGGCACCAGTGGCGTCTGGCCCTCTGACATGATTAAGAGTGCAGCCCATAGCCCGCTCCACCACGTTCTGTCGTGCTTTGTTCTAAGTGCCCAGCACAGAGCCAGAGTGTGATCCTCTGCACCTGTCACAAAGTCTGCCACAGCCAAGCAGGTACTCAAACACACGGAATTAATGGGCCAGACGTCAGTACCTTTGTTGAAGTCCTTTGGGTCCAGTGACAGACTGTAGCCAGGTAGCGTCTCCAGGAGAAGTTTGTAGCAGGCCCTCCAGCCGGGCTCCGCGATGCTGGGGGCCACACACTGCATGGCGGCCACACGCTTGAAGAAGGCGGACTTGCGGTGGAAGCCGATGAGCTCATAGAGCTCTGAGAGGATGCTGTAGCGCTGGATTTTTTCTTCTTCCGAGAGCTGAAGGGAGAAAACAGAGAGCTCAGGAAAAATACATTAAAAGATCTTTTATAAATTAAGACCTAAAGAGCTATGTGCCACATAAGCAGAAAAGGCTGGAAATGGCACTGTGGCTCAAGTGGTAGAGTGCTAGCCTTGAGCTGAAGAGCTGAGGGACAGTGCCCAGGCCCAGAGTTCAGGCCCACAACCAACAAAAAATAAAAAAGAACTATGTGCCAGTGGCTCACACCTTTAATCTAGCTACTCAGGACACTAAGATATGAAAATCACAGTTCAAATCCAACCCAGGCAAAATGGTCCCAGAGAATCTATCTACAATTAACCAGCAAAAGCTGGACTGAGCCAATGGCTCATGCTTATAATTCTAGCTACTCTGGAGACTGAGAAATTGAGGATTGTGATTCGAAGTCAACTTGGATAGGAAAGTCTGTGAGACTCTTATCTCCAGTTAATCATCCAAAAACTGGGAGTAGAGCTATGGCTCAAGTGGCAGAGCACTAGCCTTGAGCATAAGCTCAGGGGCAGCATCCAGATCCTGAGTTCAAGCCCTAAAAGTAGCACACAAGAAAAGCTGAACTGGAGATGTGATTCAAATGTAGAGCACCTGCCATGAATAGAAAAAGTACACAAGAGACTCAGGTCCTAGCTCAAGCCTCAGAGCTGCCACAGGCATGCACGCATGTACACGCACAACACACCATACCGCACACACACACACACACACACACACACACACTCACACACACACACAAACATTTCATGAGACATCAGGGAGCAGGAAAGCGTGGTGACAGGAGCTGCTGTGGCTCCCCCGGGACACGCCATGAGCCACAGCTCCAAGTCATCCTGTGTGCTAAGAAGCCCGAGGTCCTCTGCCAGGAAGTATCTGCCAGGAAGGCATCCTTTAGAAAAGAAAAGAAACAATAGGCTTTGGGCAGGGATTTTTTTTCTTGCCAGTCCTGGGACTTGAACTCAGGGCCTGGGCACTGTCCCTGAGCTTCCTTTGCTCAAGGCTAGTGCTCTACCACTTGAGACACAGAGCCACTTCCAGCTTCTTCTGTTTATGTGGTACTGAGGAATCGAACCGAGGGCTTCGTGCATGCTAGGCAAGCACTCTACCACTGAGCCACACTCCTAGCCCTGGACAGGGATTTTTTTTTTTTGGTCGGTTGTGGGGCTTGAACTCTGGTCCTGGGTGCTGTCCCTCAGCTCTTCAGCTCAAGGCGAGCGCTCTACCACTTGAGCTACAGCGCCACTTCCAGTTTTCTGGTGGTTTATTGGAGATAGGAGTCTCACGGTCTCTCCTGCCCGGGCTGGCTTTGAACCGCGATCCTCAGATCTCAGCCTCCTGAGTAGCTAGGATTACAGGCGTGAGCCACCAGCGCCCGGCTGGGCAGGGATTTTTGTCACACATAAAACTCAGAAAATGATGCAGAGAGCCCTGTGACATGTCAGCGCTGCCTAGACCTGAGACCTCCAGGATTACATGACGTTGGCACACTTTCCTCACTCTGTGACGCGGGCTTGCTAACCAAGCATCTGCCATATGCCAACAATCGTACCATGCTGAAGTTCATCACCACGGCAATCCCAGACGCAGTCAGGATGTGTGAAACTCAGAGAGGTATTAACAACTTCTACTCACACTGCCACAACTGTGGGTCGGGCATCACCTGCCCAGTCCACTCCTGCCCGCTACCCCATAGAGGAAGGCTGGCAAACCCACACGGCTGCCTGAGGAGCTGCTGCTCTCTGCCTGGAAGATGACAGACTAGCAAGCAAAGAAACAGAACAATGCAATGAGCAACAGTGGAAAGGGCAGGCCCAGCTCCAGACACGGAGTGACTGGGCTAGCCCAGGCTCTGGGGTGAATGGGCTGTCTAGGTCTCCTCCTACCAGTTCTCTCCCAGAAGCTTGTGTGATTAACCTTCAGCTATACACTGCCTCTTTCCAGAACTTCTATGCCCTCCAGACCCTCTAAAATCATCTGTCTCCTACTTCATTCATGTCCACCACCACCCCCCCTCAGGACTGCCAGAACATTCCATGGTATCATTTCACACTCACACGATGAGGCGTACACACCTCCACTGCCCTCTCCACAGCTCATCAACATGTGATGCTATCTGTCTCTTTTATTTTAGCCATACTTCGGGTTACATTTGCATTTTCCTGATAAGTACAATGCTGACCATTTTTCCATGTGATGACTGGCTGCTTGTGTATCTTCCTCTGTGAAGCACTTGTTCACATCTCTTGATGGTTTTTAAAATTGGGTCGTTTGTCTTAGCATTGAATTGCAGTAGTTCTTTTTTTGTTCCAAATGTAAGTCTTCAGTCATATACAGTGTGTTTTCCTAAGGGAGTCTTGATATGCTGAAACATTTCATTATGACACAGCTCCTAATTCTTTCTCCTATGGCTTGTGCTTCCTGTGTCCTTGTCTAAGAAAACTTCACCTGGAGTCACAAAGATATTCTATGTATTCTTCTAGAAGCTTTATGTTTCGATGATGATCAGAGGTACTTCAAGCTTCCTAGAATACTGATGCTCCTGCTTTCCGGGCGTGGGCAGCAAAGGACTCAGGGAAGAGGGGCCAGCCATGGCCAGGGGCTAGAGAGGTCTGAAGGAGAGGCAGGACTATCTGATGCTTCCATCACACATCTGGAAACTCCTCACCATGCCCTGCACCTGCTGTGTGCCAACCATGGCAAAAGATACTAAGGGAGAAGAAACAATAGTCACCAATGGCTGGTGGCTCACACGTATAATCCTAGCTATTCAGGAAGCTAAGACCTGAGGATCACAGTTCAAAGCCAGCCCTAGTCTCATCTCCAATTACTGGAAAAAAAACAAACTGGAGGCATGGCTCAAGTGGTAAGGCACCAGATGTGAGTGAAAAGAACTGATCTGGAACAGAAAGCCCTGTGTTCAAGCCTCAGGACTGGCACCCACACCCACATGCACACACAGGCAGACACACACACGAACAAAAGAGTGATCTGAGCTGGTGGCCTTCATGAGCCCACCATTCAAGTGAGAGGGGTAGCCAGGACAGGACTCCACGCGCTGGCCTCCACACATCAGAGTGCACACGTGTCCTTCCAAGGAAGCGACTTAGACAAAGGTAACACTTCCCCTCTTTTCCTTGTCATCTGGCTGTAAGAAGACAGCAACAGATGAGCACTCTGTTGCAAATGGAATGGAAATTACTTGGATCCTGTGGAGAGAGCTTTCCAGATCCAGGCAGCCACTTGACCAGGAAGCCTCTCATTAGCAGGAGTCCTGGGAGCCAGGCACAGAGCTCCACCTGGCCAATGGACATGGAGGGTAGCAGCAACAAGGATGAGAAGCAAATGAGAGGGTCCTAAGCAGAGGCCAGCCGTGATCTTTTTGGAAACTGGAAATGGAATCAAATCCCCAAACTCATCTCCAATCTGCTGCTCTTTTAGGGAGCAATGCTAGAAACATGCTTCTTGTGATTCTCAAATGGGCCTCACAGTCACGATGTCCCCGCCAGAGCCCAGATGGTAATGGAAGTTCCAACATGAGTAGCTCAAAGGCAGCTCAAGACAAGAGGCCTGACCCACCAGACAGCCTGCTGGGGACTCCAGCTGGGAAGTGAACTTGGACCCCTTTCATCCCACAACACTAAAGAAAGCAGGCCAGCACACTGGTGAGGGGGTGAGAGGAGACGGCCTGGGCCCAGCCTGTCACATGGCTAGCTCCCGCTCTTTGCTCGTCTGCTAAAGGCCGAGGGGGATTGTCAAGTCCAATACAGGTTATTGAGAAGACAACTTGAATTTGCTACCTATGGACAGGTAGCGAAGACCTAAAGTTCTCAATGTGTGTTCAAGAAATGGGTTAAGACCTTCCAAATCACTGGCTATAAATGACCTGGCCAGCCAGGGATGCTCAAAACTGTGCCTCGCTCTCACCAGGCTCTGCAAACACAGGAAGTAGTGGAGATCTGAAGAGCAGGAGTGGGGGCCACTTTGGGACCACAGTCAGCACTAGAGTGCTGACTGTGAACAAAAGCAGACATGAAAATGGAGAGACCAGGCATTCTCCAGCTTAGGGATCGTTTGCCATTTCTCTCCACAATTATGCCCAGACAGAAAGTATTCAAAATTACACAAAATTTTCATTTAGCTAAATGTGGTGGTACATGCTTATAGTCTCAGCTACTCAGGAGGCACACCTAAGATGCTTCACTCTTGAGCCCAGGAATTTAAGACCAGCCTGAACAACATCATAGAAGTCTGTGTCAAAACCAAATAAACATGGCTGGACATGGCGGTTCATACCTGTAATCCAAAACCTGGGAGTGAGAAGCAAAAGAATCTAATATCAATCCCCCCAACAAAATTAATGTCAACTCCAAATCTTCACACTGTACATGAGAAGTGAGACATAGGAAGAAAGCTAAGATAAATCCCTGTCCCCAGATATTCCTTGTTTCATAAAGCATTCTTTATTGGAATGAAATTTGCCTAATTTTTAAATTAAGGTTCCAAGTTGAGGGGCACACACGATAAAGAAAGGGGTGAGGCAGGAAAGTAAAACGATTAGCTACATAATTATAAAATGCTCACTTCTGGGTGACATTTTTAATTCCTAAAACATCTCATCTCAGCAAGACACTGACGTAGGTAGATACCTCTCCTACTAGGAAACAGCCCAAGTAAAATACAACCAACAAAATAAAAAGGCCACAGCAGAATAAACCTCCTTCCTGGAACAGGAAGGAGGCCCACTGGCCTCTGGCTACTCACATCCGATGTGCGCAGATGGGAAGACAGCGTTGTGGAGATTCCAAAGCCCCTGAACTGATCTATTGATTCCATGGTGTCCACCTTCAAAACCCTAGCTGCCTTCTTTGGAAAAGTCAATAAACTGTACCAGAACAGGCAGGACAGTCTCGGAAAAGAAGCACAAAAGAAGACCAACTTCCCAACTGACTCCAAAGCTACAGTGATTCAGATCATATGCTCCTAGTTT